AGCCGGCTGTCAAACGGAGCTTTCCAAGGGCATATCCAAAACAATGACAAGAGTGGCCACTTGACTGAAGGGGATTATGGGACGTTTCCGGAGGCTGATCAGAGCGCAGTAATGCAACTCCTCGTTCACACTGATGCGGGGGCACAGCAAACGTTATTCCACTCGCCGAGGTGGGTACCAGCAGCGCTGTAGCCGTGGAGTCTGAGCACTCTACGTGCCTTGCCAGTGTGGACGGGGAGTGAGCTAGGGCACCTGGAGCTCCTTTAATGCGCTGTAACTCACAAGTGTAGCCAAGCCCTAGAGTTTGTGTAATGCTGACAGACCCCAGTCATCGGCAGGTGGGATCGGACTGGGACTGCTGGAGCTCAGTGCATGAGCCTCTACCAGATGAGCTAAAAGCCAACGGGCTAGTAGCTAAGGCTGTAGAGCAGACTCGTTTTTTAGCGCTCTCGCGACGTGGTCTCGGTGCCACTAGATGGGACAGAACCCCACACCCAGAAGGAGTGTGGGTTACATTTGCACTGGTGCAGCTGCACTAGTTGAAAAGAAAAGTGCAGGCAAGCCCTGAAACAAACTGCAGTGGAGAATGGTAGCGCAGACTGACCCTGGGCTATGCACCTGGAAGGCCCGAATGCTCATCCCAGCTCTGCCATCATGGCGGTGGGCAAGCTGCTTCACTTCTCTGAATCTGGTCTGTAAAGATAGCAGGACTCGCCTGCCTCATGCAACTGCTGTGAGGATTGATCCCATCACAGCTGCAAAGTGCTCTGAAGGTGTCAAGTACTCAGCCTGAGGACTGAGGTTAGGGTTTTGTCACGGTTATTAGTTGTAAAAGTCATGGACAGGTTGCGGGTAATAAAGAAAAATTAACGGAAGCCCATGACCTGTCTGACTTTTACTCAAAGTTGTGGGAGGAGGGCCTGATGGGGGGCTGCCTTAAGCCCAAGCAGGGAAGAGAGCCTGAACCCCACTGCAGGAGGTGTGGAGGGGTCTAGCACCCACCGCTGTGGTGGCTGACAGCTCTGGGACCCCTGCCCCAGTGTCTGGGAGCTCTGGGAGCCCCTCACCGCCCATGGTCACTGAGAGCTCCAGGGCCCCCCACCAACTGACAGCTCTGGCCCTGCTGCCCTGGGGCTGAAGCCGACAATGTCAGGGAGGTCTCTGAAAGTCACAGAATCGTGACCTCTGTGACATAATCGTCTCCTTAATTACTACTAGTCGGTTGGGGTGCGGTAGTGTAATGAGGGAAATGCAGGGCCATTCCCTTGATAGGAGCAAGTGGCAGAGGGAGCATTGCAGGTGCTCAGGCGTTGGCTCAGACATGCCTAACACAGTTCCTCCTGCATTAAAATGTACTGTGGAAAGCAAACGTGCTTCAGGAACCTAGTCATCTTGGAGCCTGCACGGGGAAGGTGTGTCGCTGTGACCTGCAGGAGCTGGCTTCCTTTAATATAAGTCAGGAGTTCCCCTCCCATAGAGCCTGAGCATAAGCCACTGAAGTCAAGGGGAGTGTTCCCATTGATTTCAGTGGGCTGGTTCAGGCCCACGTTGCTCAGGGATGCCCTCTGTTTTAATTTTATGGCCCAGTCCTGATTTAATTTCTTATCCCCATGCTGTCTTGTTGCACAGAGCCTCCTCCCACTGCTAGTTTGGTCGAGTCTACACTAGAAAAGATTTGCTGAGGTAGCTATACTGGCAAACCCTACCAGTGCAAACACAATGTGTACCAATAAAAGTATTTTTGCCACTCTTATTCCAGTTCCCCAAATGAAATAAGTGACATGGCCAAAAGCAATTTTATGCCAAGATAACATCATCTACACTAGGCCTTTTGCCAATACAGAAATGCTGTAAAAAATTATCACACCTCTCATCCGACATTCCTATAACTAGCTAAAGTTTCTAGTGTCAACCTGGTTTTAGTCTAAGACACACCATTGGAGATTCGTAGTTTCAGTTGGCTACAGGAGTCCCTTTTGCTTTCTGTCCTAAGTTATTGTTTAGCGTTGCTGGGTGCCGCTAAACTGCTATCACATTCCACCCCAGAGCTGGCTGCATTTAAGTGGTGGATTAAATAGCTCCTGAACAGTGTGTAATGCACTTTGGATTAAAGATTCTTTAGAAATGTAAGTAGTTATTAATTATAAATAATTATCTTTGGAATCTCACATTTTGAACTTGACCAGTTTTGGGAGGAATCAATCTAAGCCCATTTGCCACACACAAATTTGGGGGAAATCTTTCAGTATCAGGTTTTGGTTTAACTCCCTAGACCTAGGCTTCTCCACTGTAGCCCCATGAACCGCATTCAAACAGTGTAACACAGTGTGTTCTCTAAGCTCATTGTTTCTGAATCGGTTAGTGTGTGGCATTGTGCTGTTTCAGGACATTTCATAATGTGTGATAAACATTCTTAGACCCTATGTGGTCGTCATTTTGTAAAATAATTCCCTTTTTTAAGCCAGTGTGATGTCATTAGGGTTGATCATAAAACAAAACTGCTGTAATGTTCTACAGTAATGTCCCCACATGCTGCTGTAACACCCTTGTAAGCCAAAGTTGTATTAATGTAAGCAAATCCAGTGTTCATTCTGTAACCCAGAAAGGTTTGCAAAAAAAAATCCGTTTTGCAACGATTACTGTAAACCTCCCCAGACGCCTATGGTGTGATCTGTGATGGTAAACTGGGGCGCTTGCGGACTTGTCTACTGATACATTCCTGGCGTCGGTTTTTAAGAAAGTGAAACCATCAGTTTCACACCTCTGAGTCCTTCCTTTGGTAATTAAAGTGGTGTGAAAACCTCAGTGCAAAATGAACCTGTTGAAGTTCTGAGCAACTGAGAAGAGGGGTTAAAATAAAATTATTTCTCAGTCACTGCAAGCAAATGCTAAACTACTCAGGGACTTAACATTGCACTTGCCCAGCAGCTGTTTGCTATGTCCCCTCCTGTACCAGTGCCATGCAAGCGATGCCAGCCCAAGGAACCACTGCAAGCCGTAGGGCCCACTATGTCCCAGAGCAGGGAGGCTAGAATGGGCTGCAGTGTTCCCAGCTGGCACCTGTTGTGAATGTTCCCAGGCCGCTCTAGCCTGGGTGGCAGTTAGTGAAACACCAGTACAATGGGCACTGAACTCAGATCTTGATTCAAATCAGAATCTCCTGCAGATGCTTATCAGGGTTGTGGTACTATTGTGTTTCCCTGTTATGTGCCACTGTATTTCCCAGGCCCCCTCAAGATCAGAAAGGAAGGATGCCATCCTGGCCAGGGGTGTTGGAAAAGCTCCAAGCCCCAGCCGCCTTTGAGGGGTTTCAACTCCCCTTCCCAGGGGCTGGGTCTTATTCTTGAATGAACGACTGTTTTTCCTCTTCAGGGGTATGTGGCTTTAGGGTGCAGGGCTAGAGAAACCAGTGCTTTGTAGGGTCCAGTACAGGTTGCAGGCACACGTCTTCAAATCAGTGACCAGACCGAGGAGAAAATGCCTCTCTCTGCGTTTTAGCCCACGAAAGCTTATGCTCTAATCAATGTGTTAGTCTCTCCGGTGCCACAAGGACTCCTGTTCTTTGTGCGGATACAGGCGAACCCGGCTGCTGCTCTGAAACCTCTCCAGGGTAAGCGACGTGCCCTGCAACCCTGTGCTGGCCCCTAACAGCCGGTCCTAGAGGGAAAGTGTCAGGAAGTATGTTTGGAGCCGGCGCTCAGGACCCAGCAAGACCCCCACCAGCTCGGCTTTGCCGCTCCCGGCTCTCGCTTGTATTCTGGTCATACTTCCTTTTACTACTTCCTTCCTTCCTTGCCCTGCCGCTGAGACCTGCTCCCCGCCGCCCGGCGTGCCTCGGCACTAGCGTCTCTGCCCCGGGCGGCCCCGGCCCCGGCCCGTCCGACCCTCAACTCCGAGCTCGGGGGACTTGCAGCCGGGCCCGCCGGCCGGGGAGACCCAGCGGCGTGTGCGACTAGCCGGGCTCCGCTCTCCGCCACCTGTGCGGGGCAGGGGACGTCCCGCCGCGGGCCGGGCGGTGCAGCGACTCCTAGCTGGGGCATTACGGTAACTGCGGAGGGGTCCCCGCCCGGGCGCCGCTTCCTCCAATCGCGCGCGGCCGCCCCCGCCCCGCCGGCCCCATGTGCAGAAATAGCAGCGGAGCCGCGGCGGAGCCGCAAGTCTGTGTTGGAGCCGCTCGCCCCGGGGGCCGGCCGCGGACAGCACCCCCAGCCCGCCCGAGGGAGGGAGCCGCCCCGGAGCCCGGCCGTGCCCGGAGCGATGCCCCGGCCCGGCGGGGGGACCCCAGAGCGCCCTGCCCGGCTCCTGGCTCCGTGAGCGGGGAGCGATCGCGCAGCGCACTGGGTGGTGGCCCCGTGGAGGGGAAGCCCCAGCCGTGGCGCTGCCTCTCCAGGGCGCAGCAGATGTTTCCCGGGGGCGTTGCTGAGCCCGGCCACAAGGGGACCATGCCCTCCCGGCGGAGCCAGGGCCGAGCTGCGCCCACCGCCCACTGACGGGCCCCCTCCCTGGCGAACACCATGGTAAGGGCTCCCAGACCTGGCCTGGACAGAGCCACCTCCACGTGAGCATCCCGTGCCCTCATGATGAGCACAGCCTACATCGTGCTGGAGCTGATCATTGCGGTGCTCGCCATTGCCGGCAACGTCCTGGTGTGCTGGGCTGTGGCCATCAACAGCACCCTGAAGAACGCCACCAACTACGTCCTGGTGTCGCTGGCCGTGGCCGACATCGCCGTGGGCTTGCTGGCCATCCCCTTCGCCATCACCATCAGCGTTGGCCTCGAAACGGATTTCCACAGCTGCCTCTTCTTCGCCTGCTTCGTACTGGTGCTAACCCAGAGCTCCATCTTCAGCCTGCTGGCCGTGGCCATTGACAGGTACCTGGCCATCAAGATCCCGCTCAGGTAAGGGGTGAGGACATGGGCACTTGGCGTTGCATGGCCCAGCGCCAGTGAGTGCCGAGCCCGCTGGTGCGAAGCAAGGGGGGTGTTACAGGTGGAGGAACTGAGCAGTCAAGGACCGACTGCACGCAGGCAGGGGCTGTGCTGGTGAAGACGCTCTTGGAAGACAGGACGCTGGGCTAGATGGACCATTGGTCTAACCCAGCAGGGCTGTTCTTCTGTTCTTAAATGCAGGAGGCTTTGTCTGCAGTGGCTGCCAGGGGCCCAGGGCCAGACTTTCAAAAGCGCTCTGTTCCCGTTGTGTTGAAAATCTGCCCACCTGTTTTGGGTGCCTAAGTGGGAGCGGAGCTCTTTGGAAAATCTTCCGTGCCCAAGGCCACAAAGCTGTGGAGAGCTGGGACTAGCTGTCTAATCTACCTCGGTATTTTTATAGCCTCCATCAGTATAGCATCTGAGCACCTCCCAAGTAATGAAAAACAGACCAACACCTTTCTCCGGCTTCTCAGTTTATTTGAGAATAGCTTGATTAGTTTATAGTACGTTCTTGAACAATTCTCCGCTCCGTTGGTAAGCTCAGCCCTTGCTGCCTATAGAGGTTGGGGCTGACAGTGATCTTATAAGTGAACTTGCTAGTTGCTGATAAGTCCATCTGTCACCTTCCACCTAGCTCAGAATCTCCACCTGCCCTTGAGCCCAAAATAGGCTGATTTTTTGTTTAGCTGTTCAGAAGGGATTGTTCTGCTCTGGGTTGAAGGGAAAGAGTACGTGTACAAATGCTGATCTCGTATCTTGCTGGACACAGTGTCAGGCATTGCGTCTAATCACCTTTTATCTAAGCAAGGAAGTGAGAATGTATAAATCATAAACCCAACAAGATACCAACTCTACAAACAGAAGGCGAAATAGGCAAATCACATTTCCTTAGCCCCAGCCACTGCACTAGCCAGTTCACACAATGTTCTGAGATCACCAGGCTCTTATTCCAGAGCAAATGTGCATCTGTTGAAAGTGCAACCTGCCTGGGGTGCAGGTGTGCTTAGGGTTTGACTATGTGGGTTCTGGTTTTTAAAAGAAACCCACAAAGTTTGATAACAAAAAGAAAAACCGCACAAATCAATCCTCCTTCCTCTTACCCCCCAATTGACAACTAAGAAACTAATAAAAATTGGATCACAATAGACCTGAATTGGTCTCACACTAGATCTGGGGACAAGGGAACATACTGGGCAAAGCATAGTAAATACATTCTTTATTGGGGCTAACACAGTGGGTTTGTGGAGCTGCCTCCCAACATCTGGAAAAGTGCATCCAAAGCCTGGATTTTCAGGTTACAAGTGAAGAGAGTTTGTTTGCCTCACTTTTGTTGAGGGGTCATCTGTCCCTATTGCACAACCACCACCGAAATTGGTATGACCGGATGATGACTAGGATAGTGGGGGGGTTGGGTCGGGATTGAGAGGCATTAGCAGAGCTGTGTGTTGGGGAGTCCAGGACTGGAATGGCAAATGAGAGCAGGGGTTAGGATTGAAGAGCTGGGGGGGGGGGGTCAGAGTTGGGGCATTAGGGATGCAGCAGGTTTGCAGTGAGGTGCATTGGCAAAGCTCTGTGGCTGCCTTTTGCCTGTACTCTCGTTTCTGGCGTCTCATTTTCATGAGCAAAACATGCACTCAGAATTAACTTTAAAAGGAATAACCATACTTGCCTTTTTCTATCACCTTGCCTTAGAGAATCTCAATGCACTTGACAAACATTCATTAATCATCCAACAGGTGATGTACAACTCTAATGGAAAACTGCAGCACATTGTGAGGGTATATGTGTCATCAGCAAATTGAATGGAAATTCCATGGTGTGTATTGTAGCTGGGGACAGATCTGAATCTTTAGTACTTATGGATAGAAGCATTTGAATCCTTGTCAGCATATCTGAAACTGGCTAATCATTTACTTCCAGCCATGGGGGTAATCTGAGTAAATTGTTTTTTGGCTTCAGATAATGGTTTGGTGTCTGCTCCATTTATTTATGTTTTTTCTAAATTGATCTAGAGCACGGGAGCAGCTAAAAGGGAGTTTGATGGCTCTTTTCAGCCGGACGTTTAATCAAACCACCCATTGCGTGTAAGATGCTGTAGCGTGGGTTGTTAATTCTAACTCGCTGTCTGTGTATCATGACTCTCTTTTGTGGAGCTTGGCTGAAGAAGTTGAGTGGTTTTGAATACAATTGCTGCCCAGGTGGAAGTTTAGCTGAACATAACAGAGCAGGTGTTCTTGGGGGGATTATCGCGAACCTGATCCTGGGAGTGTAGATGGAGGTGGAAAACATTCCTGATGACAAATGACAAGGCAAATATTTCTTCCACCTCTTTGTTTGTTTTTCTTCTCTATTTCCAGCAGGTTTATTGTGCAACTCCAGGTTGGGTCAGGACTGGGTTTCTGCACCTCTTTGGGCTGCGATCCAGGGGCCTTGGTTACAAGGTTTAGGGAAATCTCCTAGGATCGCTGTCCTCCCGAGCCAGTGCTAGGCAGAGGCTGTGGGGCTAAGTGAATGAGACCTGGTCCACACAGCTGCCCTAGTTAGACACACATGCTGTTTCTGGAAGGAGAGTTTTGTTGTGGAAACAGAAAGCTGGCTGTTAAATTACAGGGGAAATGAACTTGCAGGGAGCTGTATTTCCAGCCAAACGGCTCGTTCGGGGAGTGACTGACTCCAGAGATCAATAGTGAGCTGTGAAGTCTTTTATCTCTGGAATGGGTGCCAACCATTCCTGTTTGGTAGTTCCTGTGACAAGTGTGGCTGCGAAGACCCATCTCCCCTAAGTGTGGTCAGAGCTGGGGCAGGCTGGAAGCCAGCTGGTGTATTGCAGGGGGATGGAGATTACTGCTGCCCCTCTGCGTTGGGAACATACAGAGAAGCCCTTTGCTGGCTCCCCTTCTCCCTCCCATTGGGATTCCATTTCTTGTCCTCCCCTTCAAGGCCCCACTTAGGTGGGGCCCCGGCCTTTGCATGATTGCCCTCAGCAGGGGTGAGTGTCACTCGTCAAACCAGCCCTGTAACATCATACCGATGCCGATGCCGTTTGCTGGGAGAATGAACTCTGCATCTTCGCTTTGCATTATCCAGGTATCTTTAATTGGCTCCCGTTAAGCAATGGGAGTGGGAAGCCCAGCATGGGGTGTCTGGAGTGATTGGGTTGGGAATTCGGGAAAGGCCAGAGAGTGGCTGGATTTGGAGATGGGGGCGGGGACCGAGCTGAGTGACTTGTGCCTCTCCTCCTATAAACTAGTTGCAAGAGCAAGTGCTGCTTGGCTCCACAGCCTAGGGGGCAAATGTCTGATGTGGGGAAGTGCTATCTATACAGCTAGAGAGAAAATAGTCACTCGCCCCTCTAACTTAGGGGAGCAGCAGTGCCGCCTATGCCCCAGGTATGGGCCCTTCCCCAGGGCCCAGCTCCCAAGGGCCGCTCCTTCACCCCAGTGGCGGGGTATGAGTCAGGTACTCTGAAGCGCAGCATGGTCCCGAAGTTTCCCCATCTTGGGATATTTCTCTCCCTCCTGGAAGCAGCAGGACTCGTGTGCCTTTGTGCTGCTAACTGCATCTAGACATGGAACACAGGAATTGCCCAACGGGATCAGATCCCTGGTCCATCTAGTCCAGTTTCCTGTCTGTCGGTGGCCAGCATCAGTTGCTTCAGGGAAGGGCCAAGAACCCACAGTCGCAGGTGTGGGATAATCTGCCCGTTGCATAGGTGTCACCCTGGTTTCTGACAGATTGTCTTAAGCCAGGAAGCACAAGGGTTAATATCCCTTCCAGAATGTGTTAACAAGATTAACCATTTATCTATAGAAATGCCAGTTCCTTTTTGAATCTTGTTAAGCCTTTGGCCCCACTGACTTCCTATAACGAGGAGCTCCCAGCTGAATCACGTTGTGAGAAGTATTTTCTTTTACTGGTTTTGGGTTTCTGACCTTTTAATTGCACTGAACATCTCCGTGTTCTTGTGTTCTGGGCTCAGTCTCCTGTCTCTGTCCAATTTGTTCTTTTACAGACTTTGCCATGTCCTCTTTTACACGTCTCCTTTCTAAGGTAACCATCCCATCTCTCTTCAGAGGAGTTCTTCGGGGCCCTTCGTCATTCTTGTTGCTCTTCTGAGCCCCCTCTACCGTATCCTTTGTAAGATGGGGGTGCTGGTGAAGGGGGCTGGGTTCACTACCTGCTGCGGAGTTTGGAGTTTCTCCTTTGTTCATTACCACAGGAAGGGCGGAGGGTGCTCATCTGCTTGGGTGCTTTGCTTAAAACACGCACGGTGGCTTCTGGCAAGTGGGCTGCTGCTTCCCCTTCCTGTGTGCCTGCCTGCTGTCGGTGTGGGAAGGCATCTTGTTCCTTTTTCTGCCCCAGCCCTGCTGGGTAGTGCAGGAAGCACCTTTCCTCACGAATGTATCAATACCTAGGACATCTGGCGACAGGCAAGCCCAGGCTGTGTAGCACCCATGCGGGTTGTGCTCTACGCAGGGAGCAGGCAAGTGTGTAAAGCCCATCAGCAGGAGGGCAGGAGTTTGCTGCAGTTTCTGTGGGGAAGTTTGTGCCAATCCTGTTCTTCCTCAGGGTGGATCCCAGCAGCCCTTCCCAGCCGGAATGTAGGAAGACAAGGCTCCGTGTTTGGGGGCAGCTCCGCTCCGAGCAGAACACAGACCCCTCCTATCGATCTGATCAGGATATCTCAGAACCACGGAGTTGCTGGTCAGCCTGGTCGCTGCCCCTGGACATCACACGGTGCGTCTGCAGGCCCAGAGAGCTGCACGGCGAGGAGAGGAGACACACAGGCTGCAGAGGCAGGGCTGGGCATGAAGCACAGAAATGTGTCCCCTGTGACTGCTCTGCCATGTCCCTTTTAAATCCCCAGCACAGACTTTCGGGATGGTGAGAGAACACAGCAGTCCACTGTGCCATCAGCCACAACCTCCCCCCCCAGCAGCCAGCAGGGTGCTGCAGATGTGCCAGGAATT